TCTCGCTGCTAGGGACAGATCCTCACAGTCTGAGCTGCCTGTCTGGTGCCAAGAGCCACCAGGGTTACAAGACGTGATTGTGAGTCAACCAGCCCCAAACCAGACTCAATAAAAGGAGCTGTTTGCTTCCTGAATGCCACTGTGCCCACAGGGCTGTGTACTGGGGGCTCCCTAGGAGCCGAGTCCTGCGTTCCTCTCACACACACACATTCACAGTGGCTGAGGCTTGTCCTCCCCGCCTCTGCAGAGTTGCACATTCCCAGCCACCGCCAGCTGTAGGAAAGTTCCCAGCCTGGCCCAGGCTCCCAGTGGCGCCGGAATTCCCGGTATTCAAGGAGGTAGGGAGGGAGAAAGGGCTGTCTGCTCCAGAGCCTGGCGCAAGGAGAAGCATTTCCCACTCCAGATGTGTTTCAGCTGTGCCTCTGGGAGGAGCCATGAGCCTCAGTGAAGGGGTCTCTGGTCTCTCTGGGGAAAACCATAGGTACCAAACTAACCTCAGCCACTCCTCCTCTTGATGAGCTGTATCCCTACCCTCAACTCCTATCTAGGCATCGCAGCCCCAGATTGCCAGGACTTCAGGATTCTTGCCCACCGGTCAGCCTGCTTACTGCTACCGCCTGGCTCAAACTTAAAGATCCACCTGCCTTGACCCATAAGCGCTGGATTAAAGGCAAGCGACACCACTTTCCGGCTCAAAGTCCACGTCCTGATTTGATTTATTCTTTTCTGGTTTTTGTTTTTTCACTCTTGTTTTTAAGAAAAGGCATTTGATGTGTTGCCAAAGCTGACCTCAGGGGGCCTCCTGCCTCAGCATCTGGAGCAACTGGGACTCCAGGTACTGGCCACATAACCCCTTTTTGAGCCTCATTCCACTTCTCTGTGCCCGGATGTCAGTGCTGCCCAGTGGAGCCGGTCTTGCCTATGGGGGTATCCTATCTGCTGGGTCTGGTGTGGTGCATGCCTCAGATCCAAGCACTCTAGAGGCAGGCAGATCTCTGAGAATCTGAGGTTGTACATAGCAAGTTCTAGGTCAGCCAAGACTACATGAAACCTTGTCTCAACAAAGAACTTGATGTGAGTAGCTCTAAGTGGCTATGTGTGGTCTTCAGAGATGTCCAAGCTGTGTTGATAGCCTCTCAGGCCAGCACTCACCAGTGCAGCTCACTGGCCAAACTGCTTAAAAAACCAACTCTTGCAGCTAATGTTTTGTTAGAAAGTAGGTTCTGGTTGCCAAGATCCCCAGATCACATCTCAGAGGTGTGTGTGAACAAGACCCAATTGTACAGAGTTGTACGCCCAAGAAAGCCACTGGGCTTGCTACTCTGTAGGCTTGAGCTTCTCCCATAACTGACTGCTGTCCTAGGGCAGACTGGGTGTAAGGTAATTTAGAGCCTTGTAACATGCTATGAAGGGGCTGGGCCTTTCCACCTGTCTTTCTGACCCAGTATCACTTCCACTGTGGGCTCTTCGGTAAGCCAGTTCCTGCCATTCTTACCTTCCCTGCATATAAACAACACACAGGACACCCAGAGGCTCCCAAATTCTGGCTCCAGTTTTTTTTTTTTTTTTTTTTAATGTGCATAGATTGTTTTGCCTGCTTGTGTGAGGATGTCACATCCCTTGAACTGGAGTTACAGTTGTGAACTGCCCCTGTAATAGTTTTGAAAGTGTCTTAAGGGGCTGGGAGAGGTGGCTCAGCAATTAAGAGCACTGACTGCTCTACCAGAGGTTTGAGTTCAATTCCCAGCAACCACATGGCTCAAAACCACCCCAAAAAAGTGTCAAGTTAGGCTGAACTCAAACTCACATCCACAGCCAAGGATGACCTTGAACTTCTGATTTTCCCACCTTTTTGGGAACAGGCATGTACCCAAACCCACAGAGACAAGCATTTGAGCCTACACATCAGCTCCATGGCCTCTCCACACTGACTTGGAAGGGCAGATGCATTGAGTTTGCCTGACCTACTGTGTACAGATGGGAGGCTCCTTAAACCTGGGTGACCCTTCCAGGTTATTATTGGTGTATCGGCTGACATTCAAAGCTTCCTCAGCCCAGCATGGCTCTTACTTCTCCCATCACCCAGTCTGGATTTGCTTTCTTTGTAACAAAGACTATAGCCTTACACATTTCCTCTGCTCTTCCTGGTATTTAAATAGTGGGGTGGGTGTGGTGCTTCACAATCCTAGTCCCAGCACTCAGGAGGCTAAGGCACAAGGATTCCAGAGCCCTGGGAGTTCAGGACAAGCAAAGGCTGGAGTGTGACAGCTCAGCCAAGTGCAAAAGGGCAGAGACATCGCACCTGGTGCAAAGCCCTGGGCTTGCTGCCCTGTTACAAATCAGGCAGATAACAAACACAAGATAATGCCAGCCAGGGCCGCCTTTAATCCCAGAGGCAGAGGCAGGCAGGATCTCTGTGAATTCGAGGCCAGTCTGGTCTGCAGGAGCTAGTTCCGGGACAGGGTCTAAAGCTACAGAGAAACCCTGTCCAAAATACCAACTAACCAGTTGTACACTCCCAAGTCCTAGCATAAGACAGCCAGACTCTTCTAAACCAAAATGGGAGTAGGAAGAAAGCTTGATTGGCAAAACTTTGGAAGCACGAGGACCAGGGTTCAACCCCAAAACTGGGTTAAAAAAAAAAAAAAAAAAAAGCCAAGTCGGGGCTGGAGATGGCTCAGAGGTTAAGAGTACTGGATGCTCTTCCAGAGGGCCTGAGTTCAATTCCCAGCAACCACATGGTGACTCACAACCATCTACGATGAGATCTGGTGCCCTCTTCTGGTATGCAAGCATACACGCAGACAGAACACTATACATAATAAACCTTAAAAAAAAAAAAAAAAAAAAAAAGAGCAAAGTTGAGGCCAGCCTGGTCTACAGAGCAAGTTCCAGAACAGCTAGGGCTGTAACAGAGAAACCCTGTTGAGGGGCTTAAGGCAGCTCGGAGGGGTGACTGAGTACTTGAGGACCAGATGCAGTTCCTGCCACCCACTTGTCAGCTAAAAATCATGTGGTTTCTGAACACACTGATGGCATACACCTTCAATCCTAGCACTTGGCAGAGACCAGCAGATCTCTGAGTTTGGGGCCAGAGAGATGGCTGTAGGACTTGGATAATTTTTAAATAGACAGCAATTGAACAAACCCACACGCACTTACACATATCCATAAAAACCACGCACAGGCTAAGCTGTATCCCCTGGGTTCTGCCCATAATGCACTGCACAACAAACTAAGCCAAGTCCTTCTTCCTGCCACCTCCAAACCACACATGGACCAGAGAAGATGCTTTTTAAAGTGGCTGGATGTGGTGGCACACACCTATAATCCCAGCACTGGGGAGGCAGGGCAGGCACACACCTTGAGTTTGAGGCCTGTCTGGTCTACACAATGAGTTCCATGACAGTTAGGGCTATAATATAGACAACATCTCAAAAAGACCGTAACACAGAAAAAAACATTAAAACCCTAGGATGTTTATTACAAAGGTAAACCCTGATCCTTGAGTTGGGCTTATCGGTAGGATTTCTGGTATCGAGCACGGGCACCAGGACCTCCGAACTTTTTGGATTCACAGCGCCGAGGATCAGCTACAAGCAGGGTCCGATCATACTGGATGAGGATATCTTTGATCTCCTTCTTAGAGGCCTCATCCACATCTGAAGATGAAGGGACAAGATTCAAATAGCCAAAGTCTTCAACTTGGTCCCCACACTCACCCTCCCACCAGGAAGGACCATGGCTCACTCACACTTTTGGTAGTAGGCCACCAGGGCTTTGGAGATGGACTGTCGGATAGCTGCAAGACACAAGGGAAAAGTTCTGTGAAGATCCATTCTTGCTCCAGGAGCTGATGTCACAACCACAGGCCCCGATCCGGAGACTCACCATAAATTTGGGCCACATGACCACCACCCTTCACACGGACCCGGATATCCACACCTGCGAATCGCTCCTTGCCCAGCAGCAGAACAGGCTCCAGTAACTAGAGGAATGGAAGATGAACAGGTCTAGGTCCAACCCCGGACAGCTTAGTCACCCCCCTCAGGAACTCTGCTTCTTGGTGTGGACCCTGACACCAGGACAATAAAAGGAAGATTCAAAGCGTCTAAGTGGAAAGATTACTGCTGCGGGGGCTAAAAGTCACAGGCAACCTATCCTGGAATCCCGGTGCCCTTCAGATTCCTGTGCCCACGGAGAACGGAAGAGGGTCCCAAATACCCTGAAGCTAGAATCACAGAATGACAGGCAGATGACATCCCCTGAACAGGAAACAAAGTCATGGTCTCTGGTCTCAGAATACTGGTAGGGATGACATCACCAAGACAATCTGACAGTGGGAGCAGCTTGCCCTTCCCTCCTCTCCTGACTCTTCCTTACTGCTTTAGCTCACATCCCAGGCCCAACTATTTTGGATCAAATTATGTCCAGCATTTAAGACTAGCCCACCCAGAAGCTCCATGGCGACCAGGTCCAGAGCCAACTCAGCCACTGCTGTTTCCCCAATGCACAACGTGGCATACATAAAAATCCATTAAATAAATAAACTGACAGCCAATAACCAAATCCCACCACACAAGCAATACATTCTTTTCCTTTGAGAGGAAGATAAGAAGTATCTTCACAACAGGCAGTGGTAGCACACACCTTTAATTTCAACATTTGGGAGACAGAAAGGTGGTTTTACAAACTGAGTTTCAGGATAGCCAGGACTGCTATTCAGAGAAACCGTATGGAGAAACTGGCGATCTAAATCCCACACCTCTTTTAACTCAGAGTGGCTCAGATCATATTTACTCAGCTACCACACTCTGAAGGGTACCGAGTGTCCCTCCCACTTAAAGTTTCTTCAAGGTAGCATTTCTTAGTGTGGCCTTGGCTGTCCCGAGAGGACTGTCTCTGAGTATGGAATGATAGGATTAAAGGGACAATTCGCCACCACGAGGCTTCTAGTGGCATTATCAGGAATGCAGTCATCACTGAACAGTCTGGCGCGCGATGTTCCTTCTTACATGTACCAAAACTCATACACCAATGAGTTCTGGGTTGCAAAAGAGGATTTATTTTTGCACCTGTCTCTAAAATTTTTGTCCACCAGTTAAACAAAAACCCATACAAGTGCTACCAATCTTAGATTCCAGAGGACCCCGCTGGATTTCCTTTCCCAGGTTTTCACCCTGTAGCCCATGCCGACCTAAACCACACTTTGCTAGGATTGACTCGTGGCACTGTTCCCCTGGGTGCCACAAATATACACATGAACCAGGACATTTCTACTAGAGAAATTGACAATCATGTACTATATACACTATGCTATCCCCCAGGTCACTCGCTCCTCGCAGGGCAGATTACACTTTTCAACGTTCTACGTTTTATTATCCCAGCTAGGAAATCACGTTTTCCCAGCGCAAGCACAGACCACTACGTAAGTCATTCTCCTTTCCACACCTCAACTTCTAATAATCCCGGGCCTTTGCTTCCGTCTCTCCGCCTCCCAGATGCCCGCGCCCGACCCCAACACCTTGTACTGCAGCGTGCGCGGTTCGATCATCTCCAGGGGACGTCCGTTCACCTTGATGAGCCCATTCCCCCGTTTGCAGTGCGCCACGGCTGTGGCTGTCTTCTGTGGAAGGCGAGGGAGACGGAGAGACCGCGTGAGATCGGGGCCCTGGCTTTCAGGATGGACCCCAGATCTCTGACGTCTCCCAGCCCTAGCCTCCCCCGGCTCCTTCTATCCCTCCCCTGGCACACCTTGCGTCCGAAGACTTGCACGGACTGCAGCGGACCCTTGGCCGGCATAGCTGCGAGTATGAACACGAGGTCCTCACCGCGCGGCGCTGCCACCGGAAAAGGAAAGCTCGGGGCCGCTTCAGCCGATTTTCAGGGTCTGCGCAGGCGCTTTGAGCGCTGTTTCACGACAGAGCGAGCTTTGCGGCCGACGTTGAAACCCAGCCCGGGACGACTGATTCGCGGAGGGAACGCCTTCGCGAGGGGTGGGGCGGTCCTGGAGGGCGGAAGGGACGGAGCGGAGAGGGATTGGGCGGGGACTTGGTCCGCATCTCCACAGAGAGAAGTGCTGCGGGGTTGCCTTTCCATTGTTTTTCCGCGGGCGTGGTCGTCTTGAGTTTTGGCCAATTCGTAGACAGTCCTGCTTCGTGATTCTGTCCTTCGGCCCTCCTCCAGGCTAATTCTCACCGGGGGGCGGGGGGGGGGAGGGATACTGACCGCCTTCCTCCCTCCCTGACTTTTCCCCCCGCCCCAGGATCCCTGTCCGTGTCTTCCTAACTCCACCTCACTAAGTCAAGCTCCCAGCATCTTGCTCCCCAGAACCCCTTTTCCCTAGAATTCTTGTCCTCCTCGGACCTTCTCCCGCGAATCTGCATTTCACTAAACTTACCTGCCTATCGGAGTCTCCTCTTCCTAGCAAACCTGACCCCCTTTCTCAGAGACACACCCTTACAGGCCCCTTTCAAAGCTCTCCTGAACTCCCTTCTGCAAGTCTTAAACAGGATTCATTCTAGCGTGCCCGTTCTGCACCCGCCTTCGCCGGAATTACCACCTCTTTGGCAGCTCCTCTCCTCGGAAACTGCTCCTTTGAAATTATTCCTCCTAGGATAGCCCTCACCTAGACCCATTTTCAGAGCAGTTCTCCTAAACGATCTTTATTTGGAATCCCCCAAATCGGCCTGTTTTAAGATTTAATGTTTTTATTTTTTTGTTTGGTTGGTTAGTTTGGTTTTTTCGAGACAGGGTTTGTTGATGTATGTCCTGAAACTCACTCTGTAGACCAGTCTGGCCTCGAACTCACAGAGATCCACCTGTCTCTGCCTCCCAAGTGCTGGGATTAAAGGCGGCGCCACCACCGCCCGGCCTGATTTAATTTTATGAGTTCAGGTTCCCGAGAGAGGCTTCCAATCTCCCTGGAGGTGTGGTTTATAGGGTGTCTGTGTGCCACCCAACTTGGGCACCAGGAACGAAACTCAGGTCCTCTAAAAGCAGTAGATGCTTTTACCTACCGAGCCATCTTTCGGGCCTCCAAATTCCAATGCTCCCCTAAACACCCCACCCTAAGTCTCTACCCCACAGAATTCTCCAGCCTACCAATCCTATCTGAGGAAACCCAGGTTTTAGTTTTTCCATCGTACCCACCCCTAGAATTCTCCTAAGTCAAGGGGTTCCCTCACAGGGCTGTGGCTTTTTTTGCACAGTCGCCTCTGTCTGGTAGCACAGGGTGTAGGGACTCCCCGTGTCAGAGACTTGGAAACAGTTGGAGGGCAGGGTTGTCAACATGGATGACAAGGTGGGGTCATCCATGCAATTGGAAGGTGGAGGAAGAAGGATTGGGAGGGGTACAGATCCTTCCTCTCCAATCCTCCAATACAGTATGAGTTTCTGGGTTACATGTGACCTTGCCTCGGAAAGAAACAAGTTGGTGAAATGCCCAAGTCTGAGGACCCAAGTTTGATCCTAGGACTCATAGGATAAAAAGAGAAAACTCCTGCAAGAGGTCCTCTGACCTCCACACATGCACTGTGGTACACGTACACACAAACAGACTCCCACTTAAATGTAATAAAAACTAAATGCTCTCTCTCTCTCTCTCTCTCTCTCTCTCTCTCTCACACACACACACACACACACACACACACACACACAAAGTCAGTCTGGTTTTCATAGAGCGTTCCAGGTCAGCCAGGGCTAAGTAGTCTAAACAGAGCAAAATGTGGCACTGTCCACACTTGAGTGACCCACCCCCTTGGTAGCGGCAACGCCTTCCCGAAGCTGGAAAATTAGGGAGAAACCACTGGGCGCTGTGTGTATACACTGACACATGCCTGAACATGTTCACAGGAAAACAGTGTGGCAGATGTTCTGGCTGTCATATTTCTGACCCACTTTGGAAGATAAATGTATTTCAGACACAGCTGGTAATTATAATGATTACATCTACATTTGAGCAGTGCTTACTCTAAGCCCGGTGCTGATCTAATCTAAATGCTTTGAGTATGTCGGGTGATGTACTCTCCACGATAATTCCATGAGGTGGGCAGGGCCACCATGTGTAGGTTCAACGTCTACAAAACACAGTATTTGTCCTGGACACTGTAGATTCATATTTGTCAACTGACAGCAGATGACAGGAAAATACCTTGTCCTAATCCATTGGTTCTTCCGCCTGCCCAGCCCTTACCCCCCAGTCTGTCCTTCAGTCTCTTTTGACTGGCTGGAATTCACAATGTAACTAAGAAAGAGACAGCTTTGAACCCCTGATCTTCCTGCTTCCGCCTCCCCAGTTCTGGGGCTATGCATGTGCACTGCTACATCCAATTTTAGAATTGTCCTATAGAGTGATATTTCATTTGTAATTTAATAAATAAAGCTTGCCTCAAGATCAGAGAGTAAAACAGCCCCACTGGTCAGCCTTACAGACCGGGCAGTTGGTAACACACACCTTTAATCCCAGTAGCCACACTAGTTTCTTAGAAACCGGGTGGTGCGCGCCTTTAATCCCAGCCTTAGAGAGGATTATAAAACTGGAGAAGACAGCTCTCAATCTCAGTCTAATTCTGAGAGTCTCGGGCAGGACTGCCATTAGACTGTGGTAGAGGTAAGAACCAGTAGCTGGTTGTTTTACTTTCCTGTTTTCTGTTTTTGTTTTTTCAAAACAGGGTTCCTCTGTGTAAGTCCTAGCTGTCCTGAAACTAGTTTTTGTAGACCATGCTGGCCTCAAACTCACAGAGATCTGCCTGCCTCTGCCTCCCAAGTGCTGGGACTAAAGGCATGAGCCACCACTGCCTGGCTGTTTTTCTTTTCTTTTCTTTTCTTTTCTTTTTTTATTTTTGAGACAGGGTTTCTCTGTAGTTTTTGGTGCCTGTCCTGGAACTAGCTCTTGTAGACCAGGCTGGTCTCGAACTCACAGAGATCCTCCTGCCTCTGCCTCCCGAGTGCTGGGATTAAAGGCGTGTGCCACCACTGCCCGGCCTGGAACTAGCTCTTGTGTACCAGGCTGTCCTTGAACTCACAGAGATCTGCTTGCCTCTGCCTCCCAAATTCTGGGATTAAAGGCATGCACTACCACTACCTGGCTTTCTTTTGCTTTTCTGACCTTCAAGTTGAACCCCAATTTCTGAGTTTTTATTAATCATGCTTCAGTCTGGCATGTGGCAGTGGTGGTGCAAGCCTTTAATCCTAGCATTTGGGAAGCAAAGATAGGTGGAGCTCTGAGTTCGAGACCAGCCTGGTCTACAGAGTGAGTTCCAGGACAGTCAGAACTGTTTCACAGAGAAACCCTGTCTCAAAAAAAAACAAAAAACAAAACCAACCAGAAAAAAAGAAAAGAAAAGAAAGGAAGAAAAAAAGGAAGGAAGGACGGAAGAAAGGAAGGAAGAAAGGAAGGAAGAAAGGAAGGAAGGAAGGAAGAAAGAAAGAAAGAAAGAAAGAAAGAAAGAAAGAAAAAGATTCTAGGTTCAATCACTATTCTGGTTAAAAAGTAAATACTCAGCTGGACGGTTGGTGGCGCATGCCTTTAATCCCAGCACTCAGGAGGCAGAGGCAGGCAGATCTCTGGGAGTTTGAGGCCAGCCTGGTCTACAAGAGCTAGTTCCAGGACAGGAACCAAAAGCTACGGAGAAACCCTGTCTCGAAAATCAAAAAAAAAAAAAAAAAGTAAATACTCCAGGTGGTGGTGGCACACACCTTTAATCCCACACTCAGGATGCAGAGGCAGGCAAATCTCTGTGAATTTGGTGCCAGCCTGATCTACAAGAGCTAGTTCCAGGATCCAAAGCTACAGAGAAATCCAGTCTCGAAAAACAAAACAAAACAAAAAAGGTAAATACATTCAAGGCAGCTGCCTACAGAAATCCCTCATGCAGCCCTGTAAACCTGCCTGGTTTTTGTTTTGTTTTCCCGGTATTTTATATGTGTACTATATGTGTACATGTCTTGCCTGCATGGATGTCTGTGTGTGTCACATGAGTGCAGTACCTGCAGGTGTCAGATGAAGGGGATGAATCCCCTAGAAACAGAGATAGAGTTGTGAGCTGCTGGTGGGTGCTGGGAATCACAACAGAGTCCTCTGTAAAAGCCAATGCTTTTAACCCATGAGTCATCTCTCCAGCCCTCACCTACTTTCCTAAGCTGTAACTCAAACACTATCTCCCTCTTCCTCCACTTCTTTTTTCCTCCAGATACTGGCCTAAAAAGCCTAAGCATGGTTTCACTGATGCTCAGACTCCGAGCTTTCTCATGCTGTCTGTTGGGTCCTCCAGGGGGGTCGCACAAAGATGGGAACAGACCACCAAAGTATAATAAACCAGAAGCAAACGTTATTCCAGAAACCAGAATCCAGGAAAAAATTAAAAAACATCTCCATGGGGTACAAAAAGCTTATCAGCTAGCTGAGACCACAGCCAGAGATGGTTTGTATAAGACTGTGGCAGAGGCCGGTTTCTGAACCCACCTTTTTATAGTAGGGGCACCAAGCATTAGGTCTGAGCAAAGGAATTTTTACAATCTCAAGGTAAAACTCAGATACAGATTGCCTTACTTTACAATCTCCATTACAGAGTCTTAGTTAAAGTAGTGTTTGTACTTAGCATTGTCTTAGTACTTCCAGGTGGTGTTTACTGAAGCCCTGTGCTCTCCCCTTTGATGCTGCCAGTTTCATATAGCAGGGATAACGTGTAACCCAGAGGTCATATATCTATTTCCTAAAAGTTGACTCAGCTCATATCTGTAGGCTAGCTCTCAGTTTGCAGAGAGATGCTTTGGCCTTGTGAATAGAGCTATGGGTTGTAAAGCGAAATAACCCACTGTTAATAGTTAATCCTCAAGCTGCTGACTCTTCTCATTCTCCTAGACTTATAACGTTATAAAGTTTTTTATTTCTACATTCTTATCTTTGGAATCAACATTTTTATATTCTTATTCTTGGGCCCTTCACTCTCTAAAATCCCCTCCCTTTCCACCACACGGCTGCTTGGCAACCTCCATTACTGAATACACTTGCTTTCTTGGACCGTAACTCAAAAAGACAGGGGTCACTTCTTCCCCTACATCTCCCTGCTCCTGGCAGCAGCTGCAGGGGGTTACAGCTTGTCAGTCCTGCTGTTTTACTCTCAGAACCTGGATGGAGGGATGGTTCGGCTTGTGAGAGTACTCGGTGCTCTTCCGAAGGACCCTTTTGAGTCCCAGCACCTTCACGGGGTTTCAGTTCCACAACCATCTGTAACTCCAACCACCTGCTCTGGCCTCCCAGGGCACCAGGAACACACACGGCACACAGACATACCTATAGGCAAATATCCACACACATAGAAATAAAAATTTGGCGGGGCGGTGGTGGCGCACGCCTTTAATCCCAGCACTCGGGAGGCAGAGGCAGGTGAATATCTGTGAGTTCGAGACCAGCCTGGTTTACAAGAGCTAGTTCTAGGACAGGCTCCAAAACCACAGAGAAACCCTGTCTCGAAAAACAAAACAAAACAAAACAACAAAAAAAGAAATAAAAATTTGAAAATCTAATAAATTTGTCCTTGAGATTCAAAAGAAAAAGAAATCATATTTGTAATCCCAGCATTTGGGAGGCAGAGGCCATGAGATTCATTCAAAATTAGTCTGGTCTATATAATGAGTTCAAAGCCAGCCAGAACCACATGAGACTTTGTCTTTTTAAAACAAGCCATCCATTTTTGTTTTGGATTTGTTTGTTTGTTTGTCTGTTTTAGGATTTACTTATTTATTAAGTATACAGTGGTCTGTTTGCCTATGTCCTTGCAGGCCAGAAGAGGGCAGCAGATTTCAGTACAGATGGTTGTGAGCCACCACGTGGTTGCTGGGAATTGAACTCAGGACCTTTGGAAGTGTAGCCAGTGCTCTTAACCTCTGAGCCATCTCTCCAGCCCTGGTCTTGGTTTTTCGAGACAGGGTTTCTCTGTAGCTTTGGAGCCTGTCCTGGAACTAGCTCTGTAGACCAGGCTGGCCTCAAACTCACAGAGATCCTCCTGCCTCTGCCTCCCAAGTGCTGGGATTAAAGGGGTGCGCCACCACCACCCTGCAAGTCAACAATTTTTTATAAAGGAAAGAAAACCACACAGTGGAAGGCCCCAGGTAAAGTGCATATTCTGGGTTCAGGCAGACACCGCCCCATTTCCACCTCCCGTGCTCCCTTCCCAGTTGGCCTCCAGCCTCAGCCGTATGCACCCACTAATCTGCTTTCCCTGTGAATAGCTTAGTTTTGCTTGCTGGGGAATTTTGTCTGAATGGGATCACAGGCTCTGCTAGATCCAGCTCCCTGGCTCTTTCACTGGTGTTGGAAATTAATAAGTGTTTCTCGGTAGTTTTGTGTAATTTTTGTCTCCCCCTCTCCCATTTAGTTGTTTGAAGAAAGGGTCTCCTTTTTTTCATCCAGGTCACCTGGAACTTCAGATTCTCCTCCCTCAGTGCCAAGTGCTAGGATTATAGGTGGGTACCACTACTTCTAGCTGAAGCATGGGACTTGTTTATTGTGTTTATATGTGTGTGTTGGGGGAGAGTACGTGCGTGCGTGCCTTAACATGGACGTGGAGGTCAGAAGACAACTAGATCAAACTCGAATTCTCAGGTTTGGCAGCAAGATCCTTTAATCTGATGGGCCATAGAGATGGACCAAATGTGTCATTATTATTTATTTCTCTTTTTTCTTTCTTCATATTTTATGTTGTTCGAATATTCAGTCTGCGTGAATTCCTGTCCACTACATGAATGCAGTGCCTCCAGAGGCCAGAAGAGGGTGCTAGATTCCGTGAGACTGGAATTACAGATGGTTGTGAGCTGTGAGTGCGGGGTAATGGAAGCCAGGCCCTGTCCAGGGCAGCCGGGGTTCTGACAGTTGAGTCACGTCTCCAGTTTCAGGGCTTTTGCTTTTGGTTACAACAGGTCTCACTCTGACCCCGGCTGTCCTAGAACTGCGTGGACTTGCTTGTTTTGTGCGCTCCACACACTTTCTCTCAACCTTCCATCTTGTGTCTATATTAAGGTGTTTTTAATAACGGGGTAAAGTGGCGCACACGTTTAATTCCAGCCTCGGGGAGGCAGGAGCAGAAGTGAGCTGATATCTGTGAGTTGGAGATCATCCAGGCTACACAGTGAGGCCCTGTCTCCTTCTCTCTTTTTCTTTTTTAAATTTTGTATATCTGGGCCTGTTTGTATGCCTGCAGGCCAGGAGAGGGCACCAGATCTCATTATAGATGGGTTGGGAGCCACCATGTGGTTGCTGGGAATTGAACTCAGGACCTCTGGAAGGTCAGCCAGAGTGCTCTTAACCACTGTTATCTCTCCAGCCCGAGGCCCTGTCTTTAATAAAACGTGCTGCACTGCTGGGCAGTGGTGGTGCAACCTATAATCCCAGCACCCGAACTCCGTGAGTTCGAGGGAAGCCCAGCTGGTCTACAGAGCTAGTTCCAGGACAGGCCCCAAAGCTACAGAGAAACCCTGTCTCGAAAAACCAAAAGAAAAAAAAAACCATGCTGTACTAAAGTGGCAATTTTTTTTTCCATTTTGTTTTTTCGAGACAGGATTTCGCTGTGTAGCTCTGGCCGTCCTGGAACGACCTCTAGTAGACCAGGCTGGCCTTGAATTCACGCCGAGTGCTGGGATTAAAAGAGAACGCCACCACCGCCCGGTCTTTTTTACCTTCTTAAGATGGCGGCTCTCAAAATCCGTTTAAGCCACTTTAGCCACTTTCAAGATGGCGGCCCCCCAAGGTCTTCCTCGGGGCAGGTTCCGAGGAATCTCGCGTTAGGCGAGGCTAACGCGCCAGCTCTCGCGCGAGAGCACGTCAGCCCAACTAGGCGTTGTGTGAGCCGCTGCTGGCGCGGAAGCTTCAGGTGTAAAGTGATCGGTAAGCGGGTTTGCCGAGGTGTAGGCCTTTAGGCTGCCGGGACCGGCTGGCGACCCGACCGGAGCCAGAGGCGCATGTGTTAGCTGGCGTGGGCAGAGCTCGGGGTCGCGATCGCCAGAACCGGGCTGCAGGAAGTGCGCCGGGGCATTTTCTTCTCCAGTGGAACTTACAGGGATACTGAGGCTCGGGGTGAAGCTCCGGCTTCTGGGATGCGCTGAGGCCGCTGTTTTTCCTCTGCAGTTGCTGAAGATGTCGGACAGCGAAGACAGCAACTTCTCCGAGGAGGAGGACAGCGAGCGCAGCAGCGAGGCGGAGGAGGCCGAGGTCAGTGATTTGGATTCCAGGGGGAGACGTTGCGTCTGGGGACGGGGACAGGGCAGAGAGGCCTCCCGCGGGAGCCCAGGACTCGGAACGCCCGGGGGTTTTCAGATCGTCGGGAGAGATGGGCGAGCAGGCAACTCAGAGTGGAGCAGAGGGACAGGCTCTGGAAGGTGGGGGTGCGCCAGGGTCACTGACACAGTAGGTGATGTGTTCAGACTTCATTGGCTTTTTAGCATCATGTGCCCGATTTGTTTCATTTTGCTTGTTATTATTTGCGGTGCTAGCATTGAGTCCAGGGCTTTAGTCATGTTAGGTAGACATTCTGTCGTCGAGTTACAGTTTTGACTATTAGTATTTTTTATGTTTTTGTTTTTAGGTGTGCCCAGTTCTCCCAGAAGTGTATTTGTATTGCCTACTGTGTGCCAGGCATAATTCTTGGTCCTTGGGCTCCAGTTAACAGATTTTAAAGTATAAATAAACAACCGATGAGCGAACACGTATTTGCTAATGGGAATGAATGTAGCCAATGAATAGAAGATACAAAATCTGAAACTTGTTGAGCCCCTATGTGCCACAAATGGAAATTTCCACACTTGACTTAATGTGACAGGTCAAAGTCAAAACCCTGGCGCACTAAAAATACTGTATTAAATTTCTGTGTAAGATACTTACGAAATGTGTGAATGAATTCATGTCATAGTGGTGCTGGGGATAGAATGTGGGGCTTTGTACACACTAACTATGAGCTCTACCATTGAAGTGTGCACTTCCCTTAAATTTAGCTCTCTGTGTGTGTGTGTGTGTGTGTGTGTGTGTGTGTGTGTGTTCCCAAGAAGCAGAGTTTTTTGGGCTAGGCCCCAAGTTAATTTCTTAAATGAGTCATCAGTGCTTTCAAAGATTTCACCATACACAATATAAAAGCTCTGTGAGGAAGGAGCTAGGGCTCCAGTGTCATTACCATCATCAGGCTTCAGCCGCCACACAGTAACCTGAAGCTATGTCCCTGTCCCCTGCGTTAGTGGGAAACAGAAGGGATTGACAGCATGGAGCTTGGGGCGGTCTTTACAGCATCTCTGCTCATAAGTGGCCATCGCCTTCTGTTCCAGGAGAGGGGATGACCCCTGGCCTCAGCATGCTCGGCAGCTGCTCTGCTCCTCAGCAGTGTTTCTCTCCGGCCTGCTCTGTGCATACTTGGGTTCTCTTGAGTACTGGGATGCATTGGTTGCCTTGACTTCATGGCAGAGTTTGGAAAAGCAAAGATGTTATGGATCTGTGTCTTGGAGGGTTTAGGACTATGGGTTTCCATTGATGTACCCTCTTCCTTACATGGTCTGCTTGTCCTAGGTATTTAATTGCTAGTCTGTGTGCCTTTGGGGGCGGTCCTCTTCTCCCAGGCAGGCATTCATCCATGGTGATGTAGGGCAGGTGGTGTGGGGGGGGACGGGACTAGCCTTTGTAGTGACTCATGGCTTTCGGTCACTGCTGGCACTTGTAGCCTGGTGGTAATGAGACCAGGGTCCCTGGCTCCTTCTTTGCAGAGGTTTGTCACTGGGCATCGGTCAGACTCATGAGTCATCTGCTGGCTGGTTGTTGACACCAAGCAGGAGGTGTGAGGAGCTGCTGGAGCCTGGGCCAGATGTTGTCCTGTATTCTGTAGATAGGTAGGTTGTCGGGCAAACCTGCTGCTTGCTGTGAAGGAAATCAACGGACTTCCCATTCTCATCCCCTTCATTCATTCAGCAAGGCTAGTTTGGGTGGTGGCTCATGGCCTCCCTTCCTGAGCCAAGTCCCCAGCAGAGATGGTTTTATAGACACACAGTACATACAGTCACTGCAGGGGTGCTGACTGCAGTGTAAGAGTGTGGTAGACTCAGAACTGTAGCTGTGCCGTGCTACCCACCAGGCTCCTGCGTTCTTTGGTGTCTGAGTGTTTCACTGTATGGTCCGAGACCTCCTGGGAATAAGCCATTCCAGTCTATGCTTACAATTTCAGATTGTTCCTGAAAACAAAACAGAACACAAATCAAAGACTGGTCCAGCCCCAGGGAACACAGCCATATACAGGAGCCCTTACCTCAGGAAGGAAGGCTCCAGAAGACGACACAATGAAAGATGGCTTGAAACAGACCTGTAAAGCTTGGCTTTTTTTTTTCCTTTGAGACAGAGTTCTCTGTGTAACAGTCCTATCTGTCCTGGAACTCACTTTGTAGACCAGGCTGGCCTCGAACTCAGAGATCCACTGCCTCTGCCTCCCAAGTGCCGGAATTAAAGGCGTGCGCCACCATCACCTGGCAAAACTGAGCTTTTTAAAAGGTGAGATGTAAGCCTTTGGCACACACCTTTAGTCCTGGTGCTTGGGAGTTAGTGGCAGATGGATCCCTGTGAGTTCAAGGGCAGCCTGGTCTACAGAGTAAGTACCAAGAATAGCCAGAGTTATTCCACAGAGAAACAAGCTTTGTCTTGAAAAACAAAACAAAGCAAAACAACAACAACAACAAAAGGAATAAAACGTGAGATATTGGACTGGTGAGGTAGTTCTTACCGCCAAGTTCAAGGACCTGTGTTGGAGTCCTAGGATCCTCGTGGTGAAACAACTGACTCGTGAAGGTTGCACCATACACGAGCCCACATACAAAACACATGTGTAAAAAACTGCAGTGTGAGATGTTGTGGCCTAGTCAGTATCAATATTAAGGAAATCCATTGTTTCCTCTCAGTGTTTTTATTTTAAGACAGGGCCTCATCTGTGTCTCTGGCTGCCTTGGAACTGGCTATGTAGGCCTGGCCAATTGGCAATGGACTCTCTGAGATCCATCTGCCTCCTGAGTGCTGAGACTAAAGGTGGGCACCACCACACCTGGGTCAGTGATTTTTATTTTTTTAAGATTTATCTATTTTTATTTTATGAGTAGTTTGCCTGCCTGTATAGTTGTGCACCACAAGTGTGTCAGCAGAGATCAAAAGAAGGCATTGGATCCCCTAGAACTAGAGTTATGAATACCCCAAACCAACATGTGGGTGCTGGAAATTGAACTCAGGACCTATGGAAGAGCAACCAGCTCTCTTAAACTCTGAGCTATTTCTCCAGCATCCTATTAGCTACTTTTCTATTTAACACACAATGTTTCTTTATTCTTTGGCAGGGTCACACGTATATACATTGTATCTTTTTAACCCCCTTTCTTGAGACAGGGTTGCATTTTGTAGCCCTGATTGGCCTGAAACTCAGAATGCCACCTCTGCCTCTCTAATTTTGGACTCTTAAGGCATGCTCGACCACTAGACCATTAATAATGGATCTCCTGTCCCTGCTGGGATTAAAGGCGTGGGCCACCACCGCCTGGCTGTAATGGATCTTGATTATGTTTACTTCCAACCCCTTTCTCCTTTTCTGCCCCTCCAATGTGTCCCCAACTTTGTTATTTTTTTAAATCCACTGAATTCAATTAGTGCTGCCTTCATTACATACACAACCTTCTAACAGTGTTACCCTCAAGAAAAATGACTCCTCTCCCAGCCCCCGTTAATTGCCAGTAGCTCCTCCTCATCTAACCTCGTGAGTCCTTCCCTCATTGGTGATAAAATTGTTAGCTGACTTGAACTTGTGCTCTGAGTTCACGAAGGCAGTGGCCACATCATAACTAAGAGACAGCCTTTCCTGATACTCCTCTGGAGTAGCCATCCTCTGGCTCTTACATTCTGCCTCCCTCTCCTTGTACTCCCTGAGCCTTCTGGGGTTGATGTAAATGTCTTTAGGACGGAACACTCAGCAGTCAAGGGTGCCCCACTGTGGCCTAGATTCAAGTTCTGGGTTAGTTGCTGGTTTCCCAGCACTTAAGGTGGTTCAGGGGCACTTTCAGGTAGAATGAGGATAAGGCAGCCCTGGTGCTGTAGGGCTTGTGTTACTTCTCTTGCAGCTTTGCAGCTCTGAGCCTGATTGGAACACGGGGTGTCCTTTTGGTGCCTTGGTGTCTTTTTCTTTTATTTCCATTTTTGGTTAAGTTTTCTTTTTCTTCTTTCTCTCTCTCTCTCTTTCTTTCTCTCTTTCTATTTTATATACTTGCTCTGTATATATACCATATATACCTGCATGCCAGAAGAGGGCACCAGATCTCATTATAGATGGTTGTGAGCCACCGTGTGCTGGGAATTGAACTCATGGCCTTTGGAAGAGCAGCCAGTGCTCTTAAACCCTGAGCCATCTCTTCAGCCTGGTGCCTCAGTGTTTTGACCATTGAATTTCTCTTTAAGATTGTGGAGCCTAGGTATTGCAGGGGAAGACTCAGTAGACTGCAGCAGTATCTTGTAGAGTCTCACTCCCCTGACTGGCCTGGAATTTAGTATGTAGACCAGACTGGCCTTGAACTCATAGAGATCAACTTGCTTCTGCTTCCTAAGAGCAAGGATTAAATACATGCACCACCATGCCCAGCATGTATGCATATACATATATATATATAAAATGTTTATATGTATGCCTATATACATATTTGTTTTTAATTTACTTGTCTCTTTTAAGATTTATTTATTATGTATGCAGTGTTCTGCCTGCATGTCTACCTACATGTAACAGATCTCATTACAGATGGTTGTGAGCCACCATGTGGTTGCTGTGAATTGAACTCAGCACCTCTGGAAGAGCAAATGCTCTTAACCTCTGAGCCATCTCTTCAGCCCAACTTATTGTCTCTTTAAGCTATTTAGAAATAATTAAGTAAATTTAAAGAAACAACTAGGCTGGAGAGATGGCTCAGTGGTTAAGAGCATTTGCTCATCCAGAGGACCTGGGTTTGGTTCTCAGCGTCCTGGTCAGGTAGTTCATAGCTACCAGTAACTCTGGTTTCCGTGGATCTTACACCTTCCGAAGGCACCTGCAAATATCTGGCAGTTACTCACACAAGCATGAGGAGTTCATGCATACACACACACACACACACAATTATAAGCAGATTAAGATAAAAACAAATATACAAAAATCCTGGATAACCAGGTTGTAGCAATGTGGAGATGGAGGAAAGCTTGAGGTGGTGAGTTAAAGAATGATGCTCGGGCAGTAGAGTTTCTGTGGATCTGTTTGTGACTGGTACAGGAACAGTGCTGTGAGATATTTGTACACTGTGATGGATGTACTGATTGGTGTAATAAAAAGCTGAGTGGCCAATAGCTAGGCAGGAGGTATAGGTGGGACTTCCAAGGCGAGAAAGGAAGAGAAGATGAATCTAGGTGCAAGAGAGACGTGGAATGAGTCAGACATACACAGAATGGGAAAGAGGTCACTATAAATGGGTTAATTAAGTTAGAAGAGCTAGTGGGACAACCTAAGCTAAGACTGAGCTTTCGTAATAAGTCTCTGTGTGGTTGTTTGTGAGCTGGTGGCCCAAAGAAACATCTGTTTATAGAACAGGCATTAGAAACCTGGGAGTGGGGAGTGACAACGCTCCAGAGAAAGCCAAGGCAAGGATCCAGTGTTGAAGGGCAGCATGGTGGCCTAGACTTGGGATGGGGAGGGATTGGACCAGTGACATTCACAGGCAGAAAGGGTCAGAATCTGGTGCCTTCAGGGAGCTGGAGCCAGCATAGCTCTGGGGACAGCACTGTGGTCACAATGGGATGTGGCTACTGTTGGCCTGGCATATCCAGAGAATATTAGGGAGGCAACCCAGAGGCTGCTGCTTGTGGGTAGTGGGCTCTGTTTCTGGGAAAAAGTGGAGACGTAGAGGCATTGGGGGCATCAGCAGCAGATATGGGAGCTGAGGTAATGCAAGGCAAGTGGCCCAGTAAGAGAGGTGTGGGAGGAAGGAGAATCATGGCCCTAGACAGAGCACTAGGTCCAGCTAAAGCTGCTTTTAAGAAGTGAGTGGAAGCCAGGTGTGGCTTATACCTATAGTGCACTGCTTGGGAAACAGAGAGGAGGATGCCACAAGTTCAAGACTAGCTTAGACTTAGTTCCAAGGCAGTCTGCATTACCAGAAGTAGCACATTGACCTTTAGATTCGTGGTAGAGGAAGTGCAAGGGAAGCACTGGAGACAGCCATTGCTGAATATTAAGCACCTGAAACAGATCCAGGAGGCAGGAGCAGGACTCTTACAGGAAGCATGGAGATGAGGGCTAAGAACCCAGTCAACAAGGGCATTAAGGGACTCCACTTAATGGCCCTCGGGACAAGGGATCTAGTAAAGGTATTGGCTCCCAGGAGTTGGTTGGGTGGCTGGAACATGGCCGACCTGTCACTTGAGTTAGGACAGTAACCAGAGGCCTGGTCAGATTGGGACTGTGGGGGCAGTTTGGACGTCTGTCTGTGACATTGACATAAGGGTTTCTGGATCTGGTGCTCCAACTCTGCTTGACCCCTATAGGCAGAGGATGAACGACGGAGTGCAGCAGGCAGTGAAAAGGAGGAGGAGCCTGAGGAAGAGGAGGAGGAGGAAGAAGAGGAATACGATGAGGAAGAGGAGGAGGAAGATGATGACCGGCCCCCGAAGAAACCACGCCATGGAGGCTTCATTTTGGATGAGGCTGGTATGTCATAGGGCCTGGAAGTATGGAGCAAGCTTGAAGAGTACACAAGACATAAGGTAGTCTGGCTCTAGTTTGTGTTTGTGTACATGCATGTGATGGAGTGGGGATTGACTCTTCCACATCATTACCCTTTGCTGAGCCACCCCTAGACCCTCACTGGTAGATTCTGTATCCACTGAGCCATACTCTCAGAGACAGAATCTTGTTAAATTGCTCAGGCTGGCCTTGAACTGATAGTGTATCCTAAGTTGGTTTTGAACTTGCAATTTTCTGCTTAGCCTCTCATGTAGTTGGGGTGACTGGCCTATACCATGGGGCCTGATACAGATTGCTGGGGTTACAGCATTCTGTGCCAGCTCTGGTCGTAATTTTTTAGAAGGAATATGTGTGGTTGGTGTGGAGTGGAGGAAATGGCTTTTAGAGTTAGGTGGATCCATGTCGTACCTCCACGCTATACTGGTTTGTGGTATGACCTCTTGTATGTTCCTTTCTGAGCCTCTGTTCAGGTCTGTGGATTTCTGAGGCTTGTCTCCCAGAGTGAATGTTACAATCTTGGAGCTGTTCTGCTCACAGAACTCCTCCTGCCTCTGTCTCCCGAGTGCTGGGATTAAAGGTATGCGCCACCACTGCCTGGCTTGAGGTCACCTTCTACCCCTGCTGACCGCCTGGCTTTTCCATTTCAGATGTAGATGATGAGTATGAGGATGAGGACCAGTGGGAAGATGGAGCGGAAGACATCCTGGAGAAAGGTGTGTGTGGGACCTGCCTGCAAGACCATTTTGGGTGCGGGTTGTGCCTGGGAGGGTGTCTTTTAAGCCCTTCCCCATACCCCATGCCCTGCAACCACCCCAATCCTCACTCTCTTCACCTTGCTTCTTTCTGTCCTTGCCAGAGAGACGGCTCCCCAAACCTTTTTCCTTTTAGGCCCATGAGTGGGGGCAGGGACGGGACTATTGGGTGGGTGATGGTGTGGGGAGAATATTCTGGGTATCCCTTTTGTGGGTGTAGGGTGGGTGGACTCTGTCCCACAATACCCCCCACTTGCTGGGCCAGTGCCCCTTCCCTGTTATTTTCCGTTCTGTGCGCCTCATACATTTCGGCTTCTCCCCACCCACCTGGTGCCTGGCCTTTACTTTTGTTTTTTGACCTTCCTGTGTCCCTCCCTCCGCCCCACCCCATTGGTTGATTTTGCTGCTATAATTTGGCTCATACTTTGTCTACCCTGCACACCACCACCACCACCACCACCACCACCACCACTACCACCACCTTCTCCTCTTCCTCCAAGTAGAAGAGATTGAAGGTAAGAACTGGGCAAGTGTGGTTTGTGGCTCTTCTCCCATATCCTATGTGGCCCTGGGGCTGTCACTCACATGGGTGCAGGGATAGGCAGTCTTGGGTGTCTGACCCTAGGAAGCCTACACATGTCTGTGTCCATAAGCCAAGATGTAGTTAGTACAGGCGGGAGTATGATGTCGGGGAGCCCAGGCCGTGCTTAGATGGTGACTGTGAGGGGGAGAACTGACGGATGCTCCCTAGCAACTGGACCACCCCTGAGCACATGTGATGAGAAGTGGGAGTTGAGTAGGACAGAGGATGGGGACCATGGTGGGGGTATCCTCAGCCAGATGTCTCCTTGCCCCAGGGCCAGGTCTGGGCCCTGGACTCCCCAAGCCCATTTCCCGCCTGACTTTCCCCGCGCCTCTGTTTCCAGCCTCCAACATTGATAATGTTGTCCTGGATGAAGACCGCTCTGGGGCTCGTCGTCTGCAGAATCTCTGGAGGTGAGCAAGCGAGGAGACCTGGGTGGGAGCCAGCTTCCTAGGACAGATGTGGGGCAGGTCGGCCTGCCCTCCCGTCTTCCACTTTCTTTCATGTCTGCTTTCCCCCTCATACCTCAGGGACCAGAGAGAAGAAGAACTGGGCGAGTATTATATGAAGAAATATGCAAAATCATCTGTGGGAGAGACGTAAGTGCCTGGTGGGCGCAGGCAGCCCTGGGTGGAAAGCTGATGTGGCCTGGTGGGGTGACAGCATTCCTTCCCAACACTGTTCTCCCTCTAGGGTCTATGGAGGGTCTGATGAGCTCTCAGACGACATCACCCAGCAGCAGCTGCTCCCAGGAGTCAAGTAAGAGAGTGGGAGAAGGGTAGAAGTCCAGTGGTGGGAATCCCATATGGGATCCAGACGTACACAAGGGTGGGGGAAGGAAGACCCCTGTGTGCAGTTGATGAGAGTGGGGCCCTGGGCTGGAGGGGAAGATGGTGTGGATCGTGTCTTACTGAGGAGACTTGGTAACCTGTCTTCATTTTCCTGTGCTGTGTAGGGACCCCAACCTGTGGACTGTCAAGTGTAAGGTGTGTGTTCTAGCCTTGGGCTGCTGTAAGGGAGAACCATTTATCTTCTCTGGATCTTCTTGGGAAGCGAGTCTCTTGGTCCCTCTGTAGCTGCCTCTCTATGCCCCTTTTCCTGTCTGTCTCTCTCCACCCCACTTTTTGCTTCCTTCTTCCCTCTTCTACTCTCATCCCCCTTAGTGTCTTTTCCTCGCAGCCCATCTCTCTCCTGCTTCACCTTCCTGCCCTCTACCTGCCCCTGCCCCTTTTGTTTTCTGCCAGTTTTCTTGTGTCCTGCTCTCTTCCTCTTCAGGTCTCCAAATCCACACCTCTCTTTCCAGATTGGGGAGGAACGAGCCACAGCAATTTCCTTGATGCGCAAATTCATCGCTTACCAGTTCACAGACACAGTAAGTAAGGTGTGGGCAGACTGCTGTGTAGGAGCAGGGCTAAGCCAGGTGCAAGACGTTTATAGACACTAAGTACCCTAGGGTAAGCAGAGCAGTGAGCAAGCGGGCAGATGAGCTAGAACAGAATAAGACCGCTTTGCCTACCTGGGACTTTGTTTTTTGTTGGTGGTGTTTGTTTTTAGCTGGAAAGTCAGCTGTGGGTGATGGTAACTGAACTCTTGCCCAAAAGCTAACTGAACGTTAGCTTTTAATGACTTGAGCCATTCTCCAGCTCTTGTTTTGGGGTGTGTGTATATATGCATGTGCAGTATTGTCGTGTCTGTGTGTTCACCTGTTGCATGGGTGCACACACCTGTGCATTCGTGACGAAGCCAGAGAGACTATCACATACCTTCCTATTGGTCACTGCCTTGTTCTCTTGAGATAGGGTCTCCCTAAATCTGGAGTTCCTTTTTTATTTTGTTTTTGTTTTTTGGGGGGTAGGTTGGCTGGCTGGCAAACCCCAGAGATCTTCCTGTCTCATTTCATATCTCCCTACCCCCTGACTTTTGTTCTAAATGTTATTTATTTTTAAATTTATATGCATGTGTGTGCATCTGCTTGTCTATGTATGCACCATGTGGGTACAGTGCTTACACAGGTCAGAGCTAGATGTGTAGGAGGTTGTGAGTCACTGAGAACTGAACCCAGGTCCTCTACAAGAGCATTCAATGCTCTTAACTGCTGAGCCATCTCTCCAGCCCACTCCTCCCCCTCGACTTTTTACATGTTGCTGGGGATCCAAATTCAGGCCCTTGTGCTTGTGAAGCAAATGCTCTTAATGAGTGAACTGTCTCTAGTGCTCTCTGTGTGTAAGTGTGTAAATTAAAACCTTTTGTCAGGGCTAGGGAGATGTCTCATTAGTTAAGAATGTACATTGTTCTTGCAGAGGACTAGAATTTGATTCCTAGTCTTCATATAAGGCAGCTCACAATCACACAACTGCTTATAACTCTGGGAGATCTGATACTTCTCAGACCTCTTCAGACACATACACAGATACCCATGTATACAAAAATAATCATATCTTTTGTTTTATTTAATTTGTTTACTGTTTTTGGTTTTGGTTTTTTTGAGACAGGGTTTCTGTGTCACAGTCCTGGCTGTCCTGGAACTTTCTTCGTAGACCAGGCTGACCTCAAACTCACAGAGATCCACCTGCCTCTGCCTCACAAGTTGGGGGGGGGGGCGGCGGTGACTAAAAGTCATGCATTACCACTGCCTGACCAAAATTTTTATTTATTTATGGTAGCCCCAAAATATTAGCACTTGGGAGACTATAGCAGGAGGATTAGGCCAGGCAGTGGTGATGCACACCTTTAATCCCAGCACTCGGGAGGCAGAGACAGGAGGATCTCTGTGAGTCCACAGAGTGATTTCCAGAACAGCCAGGCTACACAGAGGAGAAACCCTCTCTCGAAAAACCAAAAAGAAAAAGAAAGAAAAGAAAGCTAGCATCACTAGCGGCCACTCCCCATTCCTACTTAGCCCCTCACTATTTTTTCATGGTCGCACTGTGCTTTGCAGTGTAGTTAAACAATAACATAATCAGTCCCTTGCCAGACATGCTAGTATTAAAGAGGTGGAGGCAGGGAACAAGAATTTTAGGCCAGCTTGGAACAAAACTTGAGTCATTTTTAAAGCTTCCGTTGTGGTTGCTGTGACCATCCCAGTGTCCATGCTACTGTGGTGGTGTGCTTCTGTAGACTCACCTGGAGGGCCAGAGTCCTGACTGTTGCTAGCCGTGTTTCCCACCTCTGTCTCCAGCCCCTGCAGATTAAGTCAGTGGTTGCTCCAGAGCACGTGAAGGGCTACATCTACGTGGAGGCCTACAAGCAAACACATGTGAAGCAGGCCATTGAGGGTGTGGGCAACCTGCGGCTTGGCTACTGGAACCAGCAGATGGTACCTATCAAGGAGATGACTGATGTGCTCAAGGTGGTGAAGGAGGTGGCCAACCTGAAGCCAAAGTCCTGGGTCCGCCTCAAGCGAGGCATCTACAAAGACGACATTGCTCAGGTGGGAGGCGATGGAGCAGCTGAGTGGGCCAGGTTTCTGTACACTGCCCTCTTTTCTTCCACCTCCCTTTCCAAGAGTCAAGAACAGCCTTCCCTCAGAGTAGGAAAACAAGGTGAGGGTTTAGCTCAAGGCACACAGGAGGTGGATACCTGTTGCTAGGCCAGTCAAAGGCAAGTTGAGTAAAGACCGAGGAAAGGGAGTGTTGATAAGCTGCGTGGAGTGTGAGGGAGAAGGCAGGCATGTGAGGTAGATGCCTGAACCTAGAGAGATGGCTCTGTGGTTAAGAATATCAGTTGTGCTTCTAGAGGGCCTGGGTTTGATTCCCAGCACTTCATGGTTCACAACCTTCTGTAATTCCAGTCCCTGGGGATCTCATGCCCTCTGAGGAGACCAGGACCAACATGATACAGGCACACATGGTGGGGGGATCCCCACCCTCCACATGCAAGATAAATAAAATCAAGATGTCTAGAGCAGGGAGTAAGAGATACAGAACTGAGTTTGGAGGTGACAGACCTTATAGTCCATTGTAGGTTCTTTTGTTTGTTTTGTTAAGACAGGGTTGCTCTGTGTAGCCTTGGCTGGCCTGAAACTTACTATATAGTCCAGGCTGACCTCAGACTCACAGAGATCTGCCTACCTCTGCCTCTGGAGTGCTGGGATTAAAGACTGTAACTTTGTCACTGGAGGGAGATGGGAGGGTTCTAGGGAATATAGTCCAATTTTTAAAAGTTCTTAGGCAATGGCAAGTGAACCTAGGGCCTTACACATTCTTGGCACATATTCTCCAGCTGAGCCACACACCATCCCCCACATTCATCCAGGCAAATGCTCTACTGCTTCTCCCAGCTGGGAGGTTGGGGTCTTAAAGTTCATAGCTGAGGGGATTGCGAGTGTGTAAGAATGAAGGAATTGAGAACGGCTGCCAGGGCTTCTAAACTGATAGTTGCCTGCTTTGCTTGCATGAGGCTGTGGGTTTGATCCCTTGCACTTGGGTGGTGGGTGGAATGGAAAAGAAAGGACTGGGGCTGTAGCTCAGTTGGTGTTGGTGGAGTGCTTGCCTAGAATGTAGGAGGCTCTGACTTCAGTTTTCAGTTCATGCCTATAATCCCGGGATTCAGGTGGTGTAGAGGAGGAGAGTCAAAAGCCCATGGTCATCCTCAGCTATTCAGCAAGTTTAAAGCCGTTCTTGGCTCTGTGAGACCCTGTCTTTATTCAGTACAGGGTTTCTCTGTGTAACAGCCCTGGCTGTCCTGGAGCTAGCTCTTATAGACCAGGCTGGCCTCGAACTCACAGAGATCTGCCTGCCTCTGCCTCCCAAGTGCTGGGAGTAAAGGCGTGCGCTGCCACCACCACCCAGCTAAGACCCTGTCTTTAAAGATAAGAAAATTACTTTAAAAAAAAAAATTTATTTATTTATTATGTATACAATATTCTGTCTACATGTGTGCCTGCAGGCCAGAAGAGGGCACCAGACCTCATTACAGATGGTTGTGAGCCACCATGTGGTTGCTGGGAATTGAACTCAGGACCTTTGAAAGAGCAGGCAATGCTCCTAACCACTGAGCCATCTCTCCAGCCCCCAAGAAAATTACTTTTGATTGTGGCCTGAGCAGAATCAAGTGGGAGGCTTTGGGAAAGAGGGGCACTTTGGAGAAAATGGCCATTAGGCTGTGGTCTTGTGTTTGTGGGACCTTTCATTTATCCAAGTGGGGAAGGCAGGTGGGTGGTGTATGTTCATTTCTAGTGCTAAGAAGTTTTGGACAGGACAGAGTTTGGGGGTTGTGAGCAAGCAGATCTCTTCCATGTCCTTCTCTGGCCGCTTTAGTGCCTTCCGTTCAGGTTGCTGGGGTCATTGCTGTCCAGCTGAGCCCTGCTGACCTGCTGCTTTCTCCCAGGTGGACTACGTTGAGCCCAGCCAGAACACCATCTCCCTCAAGATGATCCCACGCATCGACTATGACCGCATCAAAGCCCGCATGAGCTTGGTACTGCAAGCTGTGGTGCCTCTTGGGGGAACACTGTATCCTTGCTAGTGGCCAGCCCTCCCTTACCTCTCCCTTGTGTGGCCTTTGTTCTCCCCAGAAAGACTGGTTTGCCAAAAGGAAGAAGTTCAAGCGGCCTCCACAGAGGCTCTTTGATGCTGAGAAGATCAGGTGAGCATGCCGAGGGACCAGGCTTGGCTGTTGGTTGTGTGGCACAGCGTGCTTTGGTGGTCTCTTCAGGACAGTCCCCCTTGGGTGCATTGTGTGAACACTTAGTTGGGCTGCCTAGCCTCAGGCAGGTGCTTTCTATCTTGGACCTAAGTTTCCTCTGCTGCAGATTGGTTTCCTTTTCTTTTTTGGTCCTGAGGATTGAGTGGCAGGTCCCATGCGTACTAAGTAAGCACTCTGCCTCTGAGCCATATCCTAGTCTGTTGCATGTTACTAATAGTAATGAACTACCCCAGCCTCCATTGCTGTGCGTATGTGTTTGGGACTGACTGGGGTTCCTGGTGACAGGAAAAAGAGAGAGGGGACAGGAGTTTTTCTAGTCCTGCTCTGTAACCCGCTATGTTTGAGGCAGTCAGGCAGATTTTTGGTTAGGTGCTAGGATGGAACTTAGGGCATTGGGCATATTGTCCACATACTCCATCACTAGGCCATGCTCAGCAGAGGGCAGAGGGGGCCCTCGGTGCCCATCAGAGCACCCTGCTCCCTTTGCCCAGACTCCCTCTGTGGCAAAGATGGCAGAGGAAACAGACACTCAAACATTCCTCCATAGTGGATCCACCATCTTTCCATATTGGAGTCCTAAGCCAAGTGCTTGACCCCTGTATGCAGGGTGAGGGTCCCTAACAAGTCTGGTCTGGAGTTAGGGCCTAGGATTGGCTTCTGTCCACCTGCCTTGCTATCAGCCATCTTGAGTCCATCTTCCCTCAGGTAGAGAGTGAGGCCCTGCTTCTGATATCAGCGTCTGATGTCACAAGTGATGTCCCTTGCCCCTGCCCTTCAAGAGTAAAGCTTATTTCATCCGTGTTTCTGAGAACCTACTGTATGCCCAGCACTCACTGTCCAGCCGTTCTGCCCTGCTCTGTCGATCACTAAGGCAGGAGTTCCTTCATTTAGCTGACTTTTGGGTGTGAAAAGTCATTTAAGCCACCAGGGTTGTGTCCTGCAGAGTCCTGAACCCCTTTTCCATCCAGGAAAAGGCTTACACACCTCCTTACCAGTTCTGTCTCCTCTGAATCTCAGGTCTTTGGGGGGTGATGTTGCCTCTGATGGTGACTTCCTCATCTTCGAGGGGAACCGCTACAGCCGGAAGGGCTTCCTGTTCAAGAGCTTCGCCATGTCTGCTGTGGTGAGGCCCAGTGGGCAGTGCTCATGGGGCGGTGCAGCTCCTTTCCTCCTGGAGCCGTGCTCTCCAGTGATTTGTCCTGGGCAGGGGTGCTTGCTGTTGGTAACACTGACCCTGTCCATCCCTTCCCTTCACCCTGGCTATCAGATTACAGAGGGTGTGAAGCCCACCCTATCAGAACTGGAAAAGTTTGAAGATCAGCCTGAGGGTATCGACCTGGAGGTTGTGACTGAAGGCACAGGTATCTGGTTCTGGCCTCACGCCTGGCCAAGGAGGAGGGTGGTCCTGGAGACTGCTGCTCAGTCAGCCCTACACTGTTCTGTTCCCTCAGGGAAGGAGCGGGAGCACAATTTCCAGCCTGGGGACAATGTGGAGGTGTGCGAGGGTGAGCTCATCAACTTGCAAGGCAAGGTTCTCAGTGTGGACGGCAACAAGATTACCATAATGCCCAAGCATGAGGACCTCAAGGTAACACCACAGGGCTGGCCGTGTCTGGTCATGGCAGGTTGTGTAGGTCCAGACAGTGGTTTCTGTCATCATGGAGGACATGTCTGGATCTTTTTCTGTCTCCTTGTGCTAGCTGGCCTAGAAATTACAAGATCCTTCTGTCTCTGCCTCCTGAGTGCTGGGATTAAAGGTGTGTACCACCACTGCCTGGCCCGTTTTTGTTTCTTTGCGCTTTTACTTATTTTGTGTGTGTATATACAATAGCACATATGGAGATCGGAGTCTATTCCCTCATTCACCGGTCTTTACTTGGGATTGAACTCATGTTGGCAGATTTGGCTCAAGCTCCCTTACCATTGAATCATCTTGCTGATCCCCTTTGCCCTTCTTTTTTGAATCAGGGTCTCGTTCTGTAGCTTTCTAGCTCTGGCTGGACCAGAACTCACTCAATAGACAAGGCCAGTCTTTTAATTCACAGAAATCTGCCTACTTCTGTCACCCAAGTGATAGGATTAAAGGCATTTGCCATCATGCCCGGCCTCTTTTTACTTTAAAAAATTGAATTTAATCATTGTGTATGTATATGGAGGGCAGGGATAGAGCTCAGGTTGTCAGCCTTGGCTCCCTAATCCAGGCGGAGCCATCTCACTGGTTTTTTTTTTACTTTTTTAAGATTTATTTATTATGCATACAGTGTTCTGCCAGCATGTATGCCTGCAGGCCAGAAGACAGCACCATATCTCATTACAGATGGTTGTGAGCCACCATGTGTTTGCCGGGATTTGAACTGGGTCCTCTGAAAGAACACCCTGCTCTTAACCTCTGAGCCATCTCTCTAGCGCCCTCTTTTTACTTTTTGAGTCAGGGACTTGCTAAATTATCTAAGCCAGCCTTGAACCTGTGGTCTTCCTGCCTCATCCTCTCTAGTAGCTGACTGGCTTGTAATACTAGGTCCCCTTTATGGGATATTTCCTGATGTATTGTTTTAGGACTGACTTTAAGTCTGCTGTGGCTTGATGACATTGTCTGTGTTGGTTGTTTCTGAGGAGTAGCATGCCTGGGTCACATTGGGTTTAGGGTTTGACTATGGAGTAACCTAGGTCAATGCCTGCTGTCAGTCACAGAGGTGTGTGCCTGTGTATATGAGGAGCTATTGGTGCCAATATGCAGAGTCTTGGGCTAGGGAATGGCATCAAAATACTGGTCCAAGAGAGTTCCGTGTATTTGAGGACAAGCTACCTGTGAGTTCAGGCATATGCGTGTGTTTCATGGCCTAGTCCTCTCTGTGGTAAAGGGTTGTCCAGCTCAAAGTCCTGCCTGGGACAGCTATCTCTGGAGGACCAATGCAAGTGTCTCAGATAGGCTCAGGTTGGGTGGTGGGGAAGCTAAAGTGGGATGTCCAGCTCTTAGCTAAGACTGAGGTGATGCTAAAAGTGAGTAGGGCAGGTGACTCGTTTCTGTTACATACTCATTGTCCCCATGGCCAAATCTTCCAGGACATGCTTGAGTTCCCAGCTCAGGAACTTCGGAAGTACTTCAAGATGGGGGACCATGTAAAAGTGATTGCTGGCCGATTTGAGGGTGATACAGGTCTCATTGTGAGGGTGGAGGAGAACTTTGTCATTCTCTTCTCAGACCTCACCATGCATGAGGTAAGTGCCTGGAAGAACATCGCAGCATCATTGGTACAAGAGGAGACCCTGGTACGTAGTTCCCTGGGGCCTGCCTCACCCCTTCTGCTGTCTTTCTACAGTTGAAGGTACTTCCCCGGGACCTGCAGCTCTGCTCAGAGACAGCCTCAGGTGTGGATGTTGGGGGCCAGCATGAGTGGGGTGAGCTGGTGCAGCTGGATCCCCGCACCGTGGGTGTCATCGTGCGGCTAGAGCGAGAAACCTTCCAGGTGTGTCTTTATGATTCTATCCCAAGAGCCCCACCCCACATCCCAGGAGGTAGTAGTGTGGTGACCAAGCTGGGTTATAGACCTGGTAAGGCTCTCTGAAGCCTGTTTATGTAATGCTGGCAAGTGGCTTGTCATTTTTCCTGACTGCCTTAAGCTTCACACCTAGTTAGGTGGAGATCTACCTCATCAGTTGAGAAGTTGAATATGTGACCCAGAATTTGATGCTTTTGCAAAGATGTCATGCTACAGTTGCCACACCTCTGCCCTTCCCCATCCCCACCCCATGTGTGCATTAGCATAGTACCTAGGACCCTGAACCTGTCAGCTCTGTTGCTTCTGTACTGTATGACCCTGGCCTCCTGACTTGCCCTCTCAGGGCCACTGTAAGGTAGGAACTGTGATTGTGTTCCTCTCAGAGAGAAGTGTGTGAAGTGTTTAGCAGGGTGGGTAATCAGTGGACTCCTCACACCCCTGATGATCAATCAGGAAGATAGAGTCTCCTCCCAAAGAGCCTTTTGTTTCCCCTGTGTAGCTGAGGATGACCTTGAACTGCTCAACTCCTACTTCCACACTGAGTACCCGACTATAGTGTGCCCAGTTTATATGGTGTTGGGAGTCCAACACAACAGAGCTTCATGCAGGCTAAGCCAGCACTCGGAACTGAGCGACATCCCAACCCTCCAAAGGATCTTTTGGAATGATCTAGAATGTTTGGCTGACCTAGTACCTGACTTTGGTTGATGCTCTGACTTTGCTCCATGTGCAGTCAGGATGCTGCGTAGGGCTCAGGGTCTCAAGATTCTCTCCCAAGGAAGGGACATCTCACCTCACCACCTCATCCCCTTTCATCCTCTACTACCTCCCCCCCAAAGGTTCTGAACATGCATGGGAAAGTGGTGACCGTTAGGCACCAGGCCGTGACTCAGAAAAAGGACAACCGCTTCGCTGTGGCCCTGGACTCAGATCAGAACAATATCCATGTGAAGGACATTGTCAAGGTCATTGATGGCCCCCACTCAGTAAGTGTCAGCGCTGTTCTCTGGCTGAGTTGAAAAGAGTTGTGGTGGGGTTTGCCCTTCCCTCATGTGACTCCTCCCTTCTTCCCAGGGCCGAGAGGGGGAGATCCGCCATCTTTATCGCAGCTTTGCTTTCCTGCACTGCAAGAAGCTAGTAGAGAATGGCGGAATGTTTGTCTGTAAGGCACGGCACCTGGTGTTGGCCGGGGGCTCAAAGGTGAGAACATCAGGAGAAGCAAGACCAGGCTGGTGGGGACTAAGTAGTTGTCACTGCCAAGCCACTGCAGAAGGTGCACAAGGTTTCTCTGAGTCTCATTTGTCACTCACTTTGTGGGTTGCATGTTGGGTGGTAGACACCCTGAGGAACCTCCACCCTCCTGGATCCGAGGCTGCAGGGTGCAGGGGACAGAGAGGTGGCGGCAGGCTTTCCCTGTCAGGGCTTCCTTCCCTGAGTGCCCCTCTTCTCAGAAGTGATAGTACAGTGCACAGTGACAAGGGGGCTGCTGATGGTGTCACAGCAGGGATCAAGGTGAAGGACTACAGAGCCCCCATGTAACGTGGGGGCTGCCCTGGCCAGGCTTTGAGATAGGACTGGCAGGAAAGTTGTACAGAACCAGAGTCTGGAAAGGAAGCCTGAAGCAAGGTGTGCTAGCACAGGCCGGTAGGACCAGCACTGGGAAGGAGGCAGGAGGCAGCTGAGCTGAAGGTCAGTTTTGGCTACATAGGAAATGCAACGCCATCCTGAGCTATGCAAGACCTTGTCTCAAAAATAAAAGTAAAAAAGCAGACAAGATTTTTACCTGCAACTTGTGTTTTTATGTCAGACTCATTTTGGTTAAGGTGCACATCTTGATGAGGGGAGAGACAGGCCTCTTGTTGGAGAGGCCTATAGAGGCAGAGGGGTGGCACTTCCTCACCAGGAACTTTGTCCCTGGGAAAACGAAGGCTGGTTGATGGGCTGCCGCAAGTAGGATCTAACCTAGTCATTGTGGGGAGGGGGCTTGAGGCCTTTCACCTCTATCTCCTGCCTGGCTGTTCACTTGTTATCCCTCCCTAGCCCCGGGATGTGACCAATTTAACTGTTGGTGGCTTCACTCCTATGAGCCCCCGGATCAGCAGCCCCATGCACCCCAGTGGTGAAGGTGAGATGGGGTCAGAGCTCAGAGATTAGCATGGGGACAGCCTTGAGTGTTCAGCTTGAAAGCCTTGTGGCCAGAGTGGAGTCAGAGGGCCCTAGAGCAAGGGAGTGGGTGGAGGAGGCCCCTAACCCTCTATGGGTGGTTGGAGCTGGAAGAAAGAAGTTTGAGGGTGTTCCAGCTGTGGGGACAGCATAAGAGGGAAAGGCATAATTCCTGGACCCTCACAACATTCTTCCATCCTACAGGCCAGCATGGTGGCTTTGGTAGTCCAGGTGGTGGCATGAGCAGGGGTCGAGGGCGAAGAGATAACGAGCTCATAGGCCAGACTGTGCGTATCTCCCAGGGACCCTATAAAGGTGAGCCATTGAGTGCGGGGAGGCAGGGGTTATGCTGGGGAGCCCACCCACCTGACTGCCTAACTCCTTCTAGGCTACATTGGTGTGGTGAAGGATGCCACGGAGTCCACAGCCCGAGTGGAGCTGCACTCAACCTGCCAGACTATCTCTGTAGACCGCCAGCGGCTCACCACGGTGTATGTCTGGGCTTAGGAAAGACAAGTGTGGGGTTGATGGCTGAGCCTAGGGAGGAGCGTGGGCATGCTAGGAATCCCACCCACTCCACTGTTCTGTGTCCACAGTGACTCCCAACGTCCAGGTGGCATGACCTCCACCTATGGACGGACACCCATGTATGGCTCTCAGACACCCATGTACGGCTCTGGTTCCCGAACACCCATGTATGGCTCCCAGACACCTTTGCAGGATGGTAAGTATGTCCACAATACTAGGGATGAAGCAGAGGGCTCAGCAGATAGGACAGAATACAGTTCATGCTTCTTTCCTTTATCCAGGGAGCCGTACTCCACATTATGGCTCGCAGACGCCCCTGCATGATGGTAGCCGCACTCCTGCTCAGAGTGGAGCCTGGGACCCCAACAACCCGAACACGCCTTCCAGGTGAGGGCCATTTTAGGATGGGCTGTGTTGGCCAGGGTGTAAGTGGTTGTATTTGAGTAGTGTGGTGACTGCTCCAGGCTGGGAATACACTGCCCTGTCCACATCATCAGCCTCAACGTGCAGTTACTCTGTGCCTGGAGACATTGCCAGGTGTGTGATCTGGAGCAGGCAGCCTTGTCCCTCTGCATCATCGACTCAGCTGTGGCATTGCCTTAGCATCAGGAAAGCCTTGTCTGGGGCTTCTGTCCGAATGGAGTTGCCTCGGTTGAGGATCCAGTGTGTAGTGCTGTTCTGCAGGCTTCCTCAGATTTGTTACGACCGTCATTCTCAACAGACTTCTGTCCCACCAGGGCTGAGGAGGAATACGAGTATGCCTTTGACGACGAGCCCACCCCATCCCCACAGGCATATGGGGGAACCCCGAATCCCCAAACACCCGGCTACCCAGACCCATCATCCCCCCAGGTCAATCCACAGTACAACCCGCAGACACCAGGGACGCCAGCCATGTGAGTCCACCAGGGCTGAGCCTGAAAAGCCCTGCACACAGCTGCCCACCGCCCTGCCTCCTACCCTTTCTGTCGGTACCAACACCCCTTTCTTCTGTCTACAGGTACAACACAGACCAGTTCTCCCCCTACGCTGCCCCTTCTCCTCAGGGGTCCTACCAGCCCAGCCCCAGTCCCCAGAGCTACCACCAAGTGGCACCAAGCCCAGCAGGCTATCAGAACACCCATTCCCCGGCCAGCTACCACCCCACACCTTCACCAATGGCCTATCAGGTAAGCTATGTCACAGAAGGCTGTGGACTTCAATGGGCCTCACTTGGAATGGCCAGGCCCAGTGACTGTTCAGACACTGATTCCTGTCTTCCTTCAGGCCAGTCCCAGCCCCAGCCCGGTTGGCTACAGTCCGATGACCCCTGGAGCACCTTCTCCTGGAGGCTACAACCCACATACGCCAGGCTCAGGCATTGAGCAGAACTCCAGTGACTGGGTGACCACTGATATCCAGGTGAAGGTGCGAGACACCTATCTGGACACACAAGTAGTGGGACAGACGGGTGTCATCCGCAGTGTCACGGTAAGTAGGATCCTAGGAGGTGGGCAAAGTTCCCCAACTATATACTTACTTATTTTTGTCTGTGGTGGTATGGATGGAATCCTAGGCCTCATACGTGCTAGGCTAGTGAGCTATATCCCCAACTTATTTGTTTATAGTTTTAGTTTTAACTTTGCGACTATAACGTTTGGTATGCTGTGATGGACAGACAGATATGGAAGGCTGGGTGAATGTGAATCCAGGGGATGGGTAGTTTTGCCTCATGTGCTAACAGCTCAGGCCTGGGCACCTAGCACACCTGAGCGTAGGGACTTTGGAAAGGTGGACTCAGTAGTGTGCCAAGTGGCTCAGTGAGTTCCCACTCTTTGCACACCCACCCCTGTCTTCCATCCACTCTCGTCTGGCTAGTCCTTCAGCCTTCAGAAAGCAGTTGTTGTCTGAGAGTGTGTTAGGGGTCTGAGGAGGTCTTCATGTTACCCACCTGTTGCCTCAAAGTTGAGCATCAACCCTAGCTTGGGTAACAAAGTCTGTATTTGGGGCTGGAGGTGTTCAGTGCATTCTTACAGGGGGAAACACCTGCGTTCTTTTCCTCGGAAGTCCAACTTTCTGTAGAAAGGCTTAAACCCTGTTAACCCTCCAGTAGATGTTCTGATAGGATTGATCAAACACCATGATCAATGCAGCCCTATACCCTGTCCTCACAGACCTCACCTTGTGTTGGGGTAGAGAGATATGTGCCCAGAGTGGGCAGAATGGCATGAGAAGCTTAGAAGGCTTGAGGAGCAGGGGGAACTGATTTCCCAACTTTGGGAATCGAGGAGGACTTTCTGGAGGAGACATTGAAGATGTGAGACCTGAAGGGTGAATATGAGTAAATCAGGAACTGGACTTGGTGGCACACACCTTTAATCCCAGTTCTTGGGAGGCAGAGGCAGGCAGATCTCTGATTTTGAGGTCAGCCTGGTGTACAGATTGAGTTCCAGGACAGCCAAGGCTATACAGAGGAAACCCTGTCTCAAAATACAAAACAAAACAAAAAACCAAAAGTAAGCCAAGCAAAGCATGTGCATAGCCTCCAGGGAAGCTGAAGTGTACTCATTGTGGCCAGACTAGAAATGCCCAGGTGGGCTGGGTAGTAGTGGTGCACACCTTTAGTCCCAGGTTCAGGGCCAGAACTACACAGAGAAACCCTGTCTGGAAAACAACAAAAAAGGAAAACCCAGGGGGAGGGAAGTTGAGCAGTGAGGCTGGGCTAGATGACAGAGCAGACTGAGCAGCTATGACTGTCCAGAGGGCACTGAGGAGCCATGCAGAGTGGTAGGACCGGATCTATGATGTGCACTTGCTTCTCCATGTTGGAGTATGGCAGGCCAGTAGGGAAGGGAGGAGGAAGGCAAGTGACTGAATGGCAGGGTTCAGAGCAGGAGGGTGGTGACCATGACCAGGAACTTGGTTCAAGTCAGGGCTGATCCCGAGACCAGGGTTCTAGAGATGAGACTAGTTTGGGACATGTAGAGTCAAATGTTTTGGAAGTTATCTCTTTTTATGCTTGTTTTTCAAGACAGGGTTTCTCTGTGTGACCTTGACTGTCCAGGAAATCACTCACAGATCTCTGCCTACCTCTGTCTTCTGAGTGCAAGGCATGCACTGTCATATTTTAAATTTTCTCTGTTTTGATCCAATTTTGTGTTTTTGGTATTTCAAGACAGGGTTTCTCTGTAGCTTTGGAGCCTGTCGGAACTATCTCTAGTAGATCAGAGGCAGATGTATCTCTATGATACATCTGCCTCTGCCTCCTGAGTGCTGGGATTAATTAAAGGTGTGCACCACCACCACCTAGCTTGTTTGTTTTTTGAGACAAGGTCTCACTATATAGCCATTGGTGACACACACCTTTAATCCCAGCACTGGGGGAGGGGGGGGCAGAGGCAGGTGGATCTCTATGAGTTCAAAGCCAGTCTGGCTACACAGAGGAACCCTCTCTCTGGGAGAAAATAAAACAAACAAACAAAAGATAGTCCAGGCTGGCCTGGAATCCAGAGAGATCCTCTTGCCTCTGGCTCATCTCCGAGGATTTGGGATTAAGGTATGTGCTACAACACCTGGCTCTCTTTTGACCTGATTTAGCAGCATTTTAGTGGTTCCCTTAGTCACCTTACCTGCTCACCCTCATAGTTTGTGGTGCCTGGAGGGTGGGCTCCTAAGAGCAGTGAGCAGGCTATCCTTCCCTCTGTAGGGAGGCATGTGCTCCGTGTACCTGAAAGATAGTGAGAAGGTGGTCAGCATTTCCAGTGAGCACCTGGAGCCCATCACCCCCACCAAGAACAACAAGGTAGGGTGGGGCCTTTGGGAGGGTACTGGAGGGGGGGGGGCATGGCAGCTGCTGGTGGACCTGACACTTACTGTTGCCTCTAGGTAAAAGTGATTCTGGGTGAGGACCGAGAGGCCACCGGGGTCCTACTGAGTATTGATGGTGAGGATGGCATCATCCGAATGGACCTAGAAGACCAGCAGATTAAGATCCTGAACCTCCGCTTCCTAGGGAAGCTCCTGGAGGCCTGAAGCCCAAGTGTGCAGTGCAAGCATGGAGCAAGCAGCCCACCCTCTGGCCTTGCTTGGCCCGGCATGGAACCCTGAGTCTGGAACAAGCCAGGGTGATCATTCTGTATTTTCTTTTCCTCCTTCCCCGATATTCTCTATACATCAGAGTAGAGTCTGAGAAAGGTTCCTACCTTCTTTCTGCTGCCCCAGCTTGCTTTTATATTCAGGTCTTTCAATAAAGAGAAGCTATCTGTTTGAAAAGTGTGTGTGTTTGTGGGAAGGGTTGTCTTGTTTAAGTGTGGTTATTAAGTTAGGGCAAATAGCTGGATTCCAAGTCTCAGTTTCCCCATCTAGGAAATAATGCCTCTAGGACTCCAAAGGGCTCTTCAGAGGATAGAGAAGACAGGAGAAAGAGGATTAGAGTTGGGCCTTGTGGTTCAGGCTGTCATCATCCAAGCTACTCAGAAGACTGGGGGAGGAGGGTCACCAAGTCATAGTCTACGTGGGTAAAGGTCCCATTGAGGACAACAGGTCCCCTTAGTGTAGCTGTTCTCAATCTGTGGTCCTGACCCTTTTGGGAGCGGGGGTTGAACAACCTATTCACAGGGGTCGAATATCAGATTCCCTGCATATCAGATATTTACATTATGACTCATAACCATCAGAGATACAGTTACGAAGTAGCACTGAAAATAATTTTATCACCACAACATGTATTAAATGTATTAAAGGTTACAGCATTAGGAAGGTTGAGAACCACTGCTTTGGTAGGGGGGACGGACTTCTATCTCAAAAAGTAAAAGAGCCGCATGGTAGTGGCTCATACCTTTAATCCTAGCACTTAGGAGGCAGATCTCTGAATTTGAGGCCAGCCTGGTCTACAGAGTTAATTCCAAGATAACTCCAAAGCTACACAGAAACCCTGTCTTTAAAAAAAAAGGAAAAGAGCAGGGCATGGTGGTGCACATCTTTGATCCCAGAACTCAGGAACTCAGGAGGCAAGTCTGTGATTTCGAGGCCATCCTGGTCTACATAGTGAGTTCAAGGACAGTCAGAGCTACGTAGAGAGACCCTGGGTGTGGGGTGGAGACCACAGGACTCAGAATGACTCAGCTGGGACACAGCTTAGTGACACACAGTGCTTACACAGTAGGTGTGACACTATGGGTTTAACCCCTGACATAAAAATTAACCCAATTTTAAGAATGGAGTTTGGACTGCGCAAAACTTATTCGACCTATGGTGCAGCCCTGACACAGAGTACCCCAGAGACAGCCAGATGGCTCACATGGGGAAAATACTTTGCCACCAAGTATGGTGGCCTGAACTGAGTTCAATCTTTTTTTTTTTTTTTTTCTTTATTTTTCTTGAGCAAGTTTTCTCTGTGTAGCCTGGCTGTCCTGGAACTAGCTCTTGTAGGCCAGGCTGACCTCGAACTCACAGAGATCTGCCTACCTCTGCCTCCTGCATACGCCACCACCACGCGGCTGTGGCTCTGAGTTCAATCTTGAGAATCCAAGAGGAAAGGAGAGAACTGACTCCTGCAGGTTGTCCTCTGACCTCCACAGGCATGCTGGGGTATCCTCTCCTTAAGTAAATAAACTTAAGATACAACACCTACCTGGTCAGGAGACAGGGAATGCCAGACTGGTCCCCAGGAAGTACCTTAGTAAAACTTGGTGGAGTCCGGAGATGGAAGGTGGGCCTACTATTGAGGTAATTTGTATCCAGTGTACAGCCCTCAAGTGCCAGAATGCTTCAAGAAGTGCTTGAAGGCCAGCCAGGAGTCTAATTGAAGAGATGAAACAATACTAACTTACACTAGATTTGTAATTCACATTATCCAGAGTTTTGTGATTGCCTTAAGACAGCTTGCCGTATGACTGATAAATTACATCCTGGGGCTGGCTAAGTGAAGATCAATTTTGTTCCCCAGGGACTCTTCCTTCCTCCTGTGCTGCCTGCACTCTACTGAGCTGTCTCCAGCTCTCCAGTCTTATCTTGAATGCTGAAAGCAGTGAGCTCAGGATTGCTCCCGCAACTCTGATAACTTAGGGACCGGAATGAGCACCCTAACAGAATTAGACTTTGTACCTACCTTACTCTTTCCAATATTTGATAGGCCCAAGTTTTTGAGACAGGGTTTCCAAAGCCTGTCCTAGAATTAGCGCTTGTAGACTAGGCTGGCCTTGAACTCACAGAGATCCGCCTGCTTCTGCCTCCCTAGTGCTGGGATTAAAGGCGTGTGCTATCACTGCCCAGCTCACAAAGACTTTTGTGAACCATATTAGAAAGTATTTCAGGGAGCTGGAGAGATAAGGTTAAGAGCACTCTGGCTGTTCCTCTAGAGGTCCTGAGTTCAATTCCCAGCAACCACATAAAGGTTCACAACCATAAGGGTTCACAACCATATGTAATGAGATCTGGTGCCCTCTTCTGGAGTGCAGGCATACATGCAGACAGAACACTATACATAATAAACAAATCTTTAAAAAAAAATTTTCAGGTATTAAAGACATGCCATTTGGTCAGGATATATGGTAGCACATGCCTCAATCCCCAGCCTGAGCTACACGAAATCCTGTCTCAAAAAAAAAACAAAAAAAAAAACAAAAACAAAAACAGAAAAACAGCCTGCGAGATTTGTCTGTGGGTAAAGGCACTTGAACTCCTACAATGGAAGAAGAGATTCCTGCAAGCTATCTGACCACCCCAACTAGGCAGGTGGCCCATACATCTTTAATCCCAGCACTAAGGGAGTAACAGACAGGTGGATCTCTAGGAGCTCTAGCCAGTCTAGTCCAGGCCAGCGAGGACTACACAGACCCTGTTTCAAAATAAAACTACATTTAAAAATTAAGATACTGATGTATTCTTAAAAAAATAAAAATTAAGATATATAATGAAGACCTATGCCCTCTCCACCCAGTTACAGTATGTAAGGCCAACAAGAACTCACCAGGTCAAGGCAGTGTCCTAAGCACTGACTTTGAAGACATTTCCTCCAAGTCAACCATGAGGGAGACAGCCTGAGTTCAAATGAACCAAATGACCCAAGTTTGATTTCCCAGAACCACATAATGGATGGAAGAAGAGAAGCAACTCTCAGCTGCCTGTGGCACAAGAGCACACACAATCAAACACACGTGTAACTTAGCAGAACTTAATCCATTTCTTCCCACTCCAGAAATAACCATTTCTCTGAATTCTGTGTACCTTTCCTTTGCCCGTCTTTGTATTTTTTTACTATCTTAGTACGTTGTGGTTTTGTTTTGTTTTAAGTTTAAGTGTAAAAATCTGGCTTTTTAAAAACGTCATTGCGTCTTCCTGTACCTCAAAATCACTGATTTCTTATGAAGCCTCGACCAGTCAGCATGCACTGTTCCTCTGGGTGAATGAATCCGAATGAGTGGTAGGATCTCCAGTCCTTTTTAGAAACTCATGGTGGCAGGAGTCAAAAGGGATCGGAGGACGCGAGAGAACAAACACCGGTCCAGGTTCTGATCCACGTGAAAAAAAATGAGGGCTGCCTATTCACCTCGCTTTTTGAGCCTCGGTCCATCTCTGACGACGAGAGGCGAACGCCTATTTCCGAGCAACTGGATGGTGGCGGTCCTTAAGGCGCCAGGGGGCGTGGTGCCAGGTGACTGGATTCCGATTTAGTGCGCGCGGGGACAGTGTGAAGCGCAGCAGCCAAGAGCGCGCCTAAGGAACTCCGCACACACCTTTGTGTCCCTCTCGGATTCCCGTCTACACGCCTTATCTCAGCGATCCCATTGGTCGCAGTCCCTGCCAGGGGCGGGGGAGAGCGAGCAGGTGGGCGGGGCCGCTCAGCGTCAGCGCAAGATGGCGGCCTCGGCGGCGCTGTTCTCGCGCTTGCGGAGCGGGCTCCGGGTCGGCGCGCGGGGACTGTGCACGCGGCTGGCGACGCCGCCTCCCCGCACCCCAGAGCAGGTGAGCGGCACCGGGATCGGCGCCCGTTTCGGGGCTCCTCCCTAAGTTTTGGGCGTATGGTCGCACCCCGGCGAGTCTAAAGTACCGCGCCTCAGGGTGCTGAATGGGACGGAGCCCGCGATTTGGGGTGCTCCCGTGCCTCCCGTGTGGACCACACTTGCTCCCCCGGGGCCGGAGTGTGGTGGTCCCAAGTGCATCCTCTGCAGCCCATGTCTTAGCCACGTGGGTGCTGGGCGAGGTCACCTGTTCCTGGTGTCAGTGAACACTCAGGTGATCCTCGACGGGGGAGGGGCCCGGGCGCCAGGGTCCCAGGCTGGCCTTTGGGACATTTCGTTCGCATCGGTGGTGGGGAGCGAGGGAGCCTGGAGGGAGCCAGCTTGCCTTCCGTTTCGACCTAGCCATTCTGACCTCTAGGTCCATCATCACTTGCCGTTCCGTAAGCCTCGCCCCTGTTTTTTTCCCTTGCCTACCCCTCCATCTCGGGCCCTGGTGTCCGAATGTCTTAACTGTCTCTCGTGTGCCCTCTGTCCCCGTAGTTTTGCTCTTCCCACCATCCCTTATTCTCCTTGCCCTATTCTTCCTGGCTCCAGCCCCTGCAGTCCTGTTGCTTCCAGGATCTTGGGCAATCCGGTCTGCCATCTCTTGAACCCCTGTGATCCTCTAAACAGTTTTGTTTTGACCCTCTGAGGGGACCAACCTTTCAACTTATTCGTCCAGGGACATAATTTTCTGGGGGCTCTGTGGGTGTTCTGGCCCTTGATCTTGAGTCTACTTGGACCAAATTAGAGGTCAGAGTATCCTGCAGTTTCTCTCCTAGCTGACCTCGCCTCCTCCCCCTCCACTCAGGTTGCTGAGATCGCCGGCCGTGGAGGCTCGAAGGCCCAGGGGCCACAGCATCAGCCTGGCTCAGAAGGTCCCAGCTATGCCAAAAAAGTTGCTCTCTGGCTTGCTGGTTTGCTTGGGGCCGGTGGGACTGTCAGCATCGTCTATATTTTTGGTGAGAGACATACCCCTGGCTTGGTGACCCCCAGATTTCTACTGTGAAACCTCCCCTTCTTTCCTCAAACTATGTTCCTCCCCTATCAACTTCAGTACTGACCTTGAAACTCAACAAGTTCCCTTCTGACCCTCGTACCTAAAGTTCTGTCCTCTAGTTGGTTCCTGTACCTGAATTCAGGAACTAAGGGACTGTGGGACAATACGGCTGGCCCTGTGCCCGAAGCTATGTCTCTGTCTCTCCTTTTGCAGCAAAAACTTAACCTTCCCTTGCGTACCTCTCAGCCTCAGACAACATTCTCTCTCTTTTTCTTTTCTTTCTTTATTTCCTTTTTTTGTTTTGTTTTATTTTTCAAGACAGGGTTTCTCTGTCTAACAGCCCTGGGAACTCACTCTGTAGCCTAGGCTGGCCTCAAAGTCACAGAGATCCCCCTGCCTCTGCCTCTGCCTCCCAGGTGCTAGGATTAAAGGCATGCGCCAGCATGCCCAGCTAACCCACTTTCTCTCAAATATGTTGGACTCCTGCCCTCCAGCCTCTTCCTCCCTTGAGCCAGGAGCTGTGCCTCTAGCAGTATTCTGTCTGAGTGGGGAGTCCAAAGCCTCATTCTCCTACACCTTCCAGACCCAGCAGGCTAGAGTCCAGTTTCTCTCAACCGTCTCTCTCCCTTGCAGGAAACAACCCTGTGGATGAAAATGGTACTAAGGTGAGTTGGAATAAGACCCAGCGATCTAGAGTCTGTTCTAGCGGGTGGGCTGCTTATGGTTGGTTTAGGCTCCTTTTAGTCTGAAGTGAGCCTCTCTCTCCCTTCCTGGGACCTTTGCCTACTCAGCCTGGACCCCCTTGAGTGGATGTACTGAGGTCCTACCTCTGCCATTTCAAACCTTTCTTTTTCTCTCCCAGATTCCTGATGAATTCGACAATGGTGAGTGAGTAAACACAGACTCGAATTCCCTGGTGTCCATCTCTGCTCTTGTTTCGTTTGTTTAGAGTGCTGTTCCCCTATTCTACACCCCAAATCCTCCTCCTTCCACAGAGGTGCAACAATTAGATGGCTTGGGGGGAGGGACATAACAAAAGCCCCTCAGCCCTGGAGCAGATGGTCAGGAACAGATGGGGGCAGGGAGCCCCAGTGCTCCCTCCCAGACACAAGGCTTCCTGGGCCTTAGATCTGAGCATCTGCAGCCCCTGACCTCTTATGACAGACTCTTTTTTTTTTTTTTTTTTAAATACCTATATTCAACCCATGCTTGTTTTGTTTTCTTATTTATTTGGTTTTGAGACAGGGTTTCTCTGTGTAGTCCTGGCTGTCCTGAACTTACTCTGTAGGCCAGGCTGGCCTCGAACTCAGAGATCCCTTGTCTCTGCCTCTCAGGTGCTAGGATTAAAGTTGTACCCCACCGTCCCCTACTCCCCATTGGTTTAAGCAAGTTATTTAAATTGTACAGGTAGACATGGGAGGTTGACGTGTGTTCACTGGTTTATACTGGCTTCTTCAGCACTGAGACTTTTAAGAGGCAAGCTCAGAGACAGCTAAATTGGAAACGCCACATTAGGGCATTACACTGCAGTCATATGTTCATTTGGCCAAGTGTTCACCTCGCCTGTTTTGACGCTGATGGTTTGTATTAGAGTAGTGGGTTCTGGGGTTGGAAGACTGGGGCTAGGTAAGGGCTCTCCCACTCATCTGCATCCCCAGCATGGTTTTATTTTATTTTATTTTTTTCAAGACAGGAGTTCTCTGTGTAGCCCTGGCTGTCCTGGAACTCACTCTGTAGACCAGGCTGACCTCAAACTCACAGATACCCTCCTGCCTCTGCCTCCTGAGTGCTAGGATTAAAGGTGTACACCACCACCACCCAGCATGGTTTTATTTTTAAATTATGTGTATGTATGTGTGTCTGTGGGGGCATGTGAGTGTCCTCCAAGGCTAGATAAGAGTTTTGGAGCCCTTGGAGCTGTTTGTCGTCCTCCTGATGTGCCAGGGTTCCAGTTCAAGTGCGCTGCAAGAGCAGTGCCGACTCCAACTGCTGGGCCAGCTCTCCGGCCTGATAACATTGACACGCACCCCTTCCTTTTTTTTTTTTTTTTTTTTTTGTAGGACAGGGTGTAAACAGAGACTGCACTCGTGTTTCCCAGACACCCAGACCAGAGTAATCACACAGAAACTCTGTTAATTACAATACTGTTTGGCCAATGTCACAGGCATATTCCTAACACATGATTTCATCTTAAATTAACTCATTTCTATTAATCTATGGATCTCCAAGAGGCTGTGTCTTACCAGTAATATTCTGTCTCCTCAGCTCCACCTACTCTCTCTTTGTCTATGTTTGGATTTCCCGCCTGGCTTTACTCTGCTAAGCTATTGGCTGAAATAGCTTTATTCATCAACCAATAAAACCAACATATATATAGAAGGACATGCCCGATCAACAGGGTCTTGCAAATTGCCCATTCTGACTTCAGGCTCACTGTGTAATCCTGGCTGCTCCTGAACTTGTAAATTCTCCTGCCTTAACCTTCCAAGTAGTGGGAATACAGGCCTGTGCTACTGCAACCCAGCCCTGTTCACACTTCAGACCAGGTAGTTCTTGGTTCCAGTCTGACCAGTGCATTGTGGGATGTGTTAACAGTGTTCTGGGCCACCCGCTCATAGACACTAGATTATGACCATTAAAAATATCTCATGGCCGGGCAGTGGTGCCACAGGCATTTAACCCCAGCACTCAGGAGGCAGAGGTAGGTGGATCTCTTGAGTTCAAGGCCAGCCTGGTCTACAGAGTGAGTTCCAGGATAGCCAGGGCTACACAGGGAACCCTGTCTCAGAAAACAAAACAACCCAAAATATCTCCATGAAACTTTAAATCCTAGCACTTGGGAGACAAAGGCAAGAGGCTCTCTTTAAACTCAAACAATGTGCACACAGCTGTTAAAAACAAGAATTTCAGTGTCTTCTAAAACAACAGAAACTAAGTGTGCAGGAGGGCTTTGTGTTCTTTAAGTGGGCTGATAGGTAGACATTCTGTTTTATACCTGGCGTGCTGTGGAGATAGAAGTATTCACAGTAAAGCTGGGCAGGGGAAATACGTCGTCTTCTACATTAGACAAAGCATGTGTGTGTGTGCAGACTTATTCAGGTCTAGTAGACTGTAAGTGTGCTTAGAGCTGGGCTTGCTGATGCAGGCCAGTAATCTTGGTACTGGGGAAGTAGAGGCAGGGGGATCGGGAGTTCAAGACAAACCTGGGCCACATGAAGCTTATCTCGAACAGTAAAATTACATATTCTTCCCTTAAAATCCTTCTCCCTCTTGGGAGTTCTTTCCTACTTTTCCTTAAGAAATCTATGTTTGTTCTGCAAGTAAAGAAGTAATAAATAAACTGACCTGTTTGGGAGGTGGAGCAGTGGCTTACTTTGGAATCCCTTTGTGCCTGGTGTTCTAGATCCGATTCTGGTTCAGCAGTTGCGCCGGACATACAAATATTTCAAAGATTACAGACAGGTGAGTGGGGGGTGGTATGTGTGCTGGGCTCAGCTCCCATGCCCCCGTGCCCAGCTCTGTTTCTGAATGTGAGTGGCCCATCCTGTTCTGCAGATGATCATTGAGCCCACCAGCCCCTGCCTTCTCCCAGACCCTCTGCGGGAACCCTACTACCAGCCACCCTATACACTGGTCCTGGAGCTCACCGGCGTCCTCCTGCATCCCGAGTGGTCGGTGTGTCCTGTGGAAGACAGTGGGTCGG